AATAAATCTTCTAGCAATAAACTCCCGGTGTACTAAATATTCCTGCATAGATTACAAGAGGTTTCATAGTTAAAGTCAGTCTCAATGGGTGTTTAGTCAGGATCTTTGCTTCATTCTGTGAAAATACTCAGGGTATGTACTTCACAGAATACCATGGAAACAGCTTAAATACAGTTTTATTCAGGCAGAGAAACCTGAGTCTTTGTTCCAGGTCAAACAAGTATTGTGCTTTTTACAGCTTTAAGCTGTTTAGAGCTCTTATCTTTAGAATTCATATTTATCAAGGACACTGAACAGAATTCAAGCAGTAGCAGAATCACCAGTGAGAAAGAAGGAACTGCATTTCACACTTATTTAGCAAAGGCAATGGAAGAATTAAGTCCAGTGTTCATGTTCTCCCTCCCTGCCTGCCATTCCCTTCTGTTCAGTATGATAAACACATGTCTTTCCCCTGCAGGGGCCAATCTAATCTTTCTTTAAGTCAAGAATAAAACTCCCACCAAATTCAATGAGTCTAAAATCTATGATCTTCGGCCTGGTCTACACAGCATTAGGTCGACATATGCTGCGTTAGGTCAAATTTATAATGTTCATGTCTACACTACCGAGCTCTTTCCACCGACCCAAACGGTTTGTAAAATCAATGCCTGTACTCCACCTCAGCGAGAGGAGTAGCGCTAGAGTCCACCTTCCCAGGTTGAATTAGGAGTAGTGGAGACACAACACTGTAATTCGATGGGATTGGACTCCGGGAGATGTCCCAGAGTGCTCCAATGTGACTGCTCTGGATAGCACTTTCAACTCCACTGCACTTCATGCAGGTACACAGGAAAAGCCCCAGGAACTTTTGAATTTCATTTCCTGTTTGATCAGTGTGGAGAGCTCACCAGCACAGCTGACCATGCCTGCTTAGGGCCACAAACATGTTCCAGCATGGAGCATACAGGAGACATTGGATCTGATTACTGTGTGTGGAGAAGAGTCTGTGCAGGCAGAGCTCCAAACCAGCAGAAGAAATGCTGATATCTGTGCCAAAATCACACAGGGCATGGGTGACAAAGGCTACACTAGGGACACACAGCAGTGCTGCGTGAAAATAAAGGAGCTCAGGCAAGCATACCAGAAGACAGGGGAGGCAAACAGTTGCTCTGGTTCTGAGCCACAGACATGCTGCTTCTATGAGCAGCTGCATACGATTCTAGACAGGGACCCCACCTGTACCCCAACACTCTCTGTGGATACCTCCCAGGGGCCCCAGGTGGCTACCGGAACAACAAGGAGAACATTGTTGAGGAGGAGGAGGAGAATGTGCAGCAGATAAGTGAAGGATCCATTCTCCCCAACAGCCAGGACCTTTTCGTAACTCTGGAGCCAATCCCCTCCCAGGACCTACTGTTGTGGGACCGTGATGTTGTGGAAGGCACCCCTGGTGAGTGCACACTTGTAATCACACTACAGGGGTTAAATGCAATTGTGGTTAATGTTTAATCTGAGGTAAACAATTGGGATACAGTGGTGGCCAGTCCAGTACGCAAAGGGTGCTCCCCGGAAAAGCCTGTTTATGTGCCAAGAGTTTCCACACCAAAAAATGTCCTCAGGTGTGCCCTGACACCACCTACTCTTTCATGTGTGCTTACCATGTCTGCCTGCAAACCAAAATCTGCTGCCCAGCGCTCTGCCATGTATTGTACCTTACTGGTAGGTGCTTCTTTTAAAGGACAAAATGTGTCTGTGTACCTCAGGGAACATATTTACTGCTGTGAAGTGTTTCATTCACTGCAAGAGTTAACCTGCTGTTTTCAACAATGTATGTTCTGTAAGGCTACCCTTGTGTTTTTTGTTTCCTTGCAGCTGCAACCTTGTCTGTGGGTGCGTCCTCCACACTAGCACAAAGGCTGTCCCAGATTAGAAGGTGAAAAAAGCAGACAAGGGAAGACATGTTCTGTGATTTTTCTCCGAGACTGACAGGGTTCAGCTGAATGCATGGAGGCTTACACTGTCGGAGAGCATGCGCATCAACCAAGAGGGGAGGAAAGCATGCAGGGAACAAAAGTGTAACATGCAAGAGGAGATGTTGTGGCTTATGGGGCAGCAAACCAACATGTTGAGGCATCTGGTTGAAGTGCAGGAAAGGCAGCTAGACCTTAGAGTTCTGCTGCACCCAATGATGAACCAGCTGCCCTCCTCACCAAGTTCCATATCCTCCACTCCCAGACATCCTAGAATGCAGGGGGGAGGGGAAGGGAGCTCCGTTAGCCCTTGAATTCAACTCCAGGAGATGGTTCATGGAGCAGAAGGCTCTCATTCTCATAGCTTTGATTGCTAGACAATGCAATTGTAATAAGCTACGTGTCCTTGCCCCTCCCTTCATGTTATCAGGCCCTTAGACCGAGGTTATCTTTGCTATTAATTGCTGTCTCTGTTCAGTGTTTGTTAGCATAATAAAAATGCATGGCTTGAGGACAACAGGCTCTTTATTCTCTGTGCACACTGTGGTTGGTGGAGGTTTAGTTTTCAAGGCAGTACATGCAAAAAAGGGGGCAGCTTGGTAAGGAACAACACACAGAACTGTCACATCAGTGTTGGGTAATTCATGAAACTGGTTTTTTAAAGCCTCTCGGAGACACAGTGCACCTCCATGTGCTCTTTGTATTGCCCTGGGTCCGGCTCCTCATAACTGGCAGCCAGGCTATCTACCTCAACCCCCAACCCCATCATAAACTTTCCTGCCTTACTTTCACAGATATTATGGAGCACACAGCAAGCAGCAACAACAATGGGAATATTGCTTTCGCTGAGGTAAAACCTAGTGAGTAAACTGCACCAGCACCCCTTTAAACGTCCAAAGGCACATTTCTACCACCATTCTGCACTTGCTCAGCCTTTGGTTGAACTGCTCCTTACTGCTGTCCAGGCTGCCTGTATATGGCTTCATGAGCCATGGGAGCAAGGGGTAGGCTGGGTCTCCAAGGAAAATTACTGGCATTTCAATGTCACCAACAGTAATTTTCCAGTCTGGGAAGAAAGTTCCTTCTTTCAGCTTTCTGAAGAGACCAGAGTTCCTAAAGATGCATGGGTCATGTACCTTTCCCAACCATCCCACGCTGATGTAGGTGAAACAGCCCTTGTGATCCACTAGCACTTGCAACACCATTGAGAAGTACCCGTTTCGGTTTATGTACTCTTTAGCAAGGTAGTTTGGTGCCAAGATAGATATGGGTTCCGTCTATCACCCCACCACAACTAGGGAACTTAGCAGAAGTCTATTGATTGCCCTGGCTACTTGGATGACAGCAGTCCCCATGGTAGATTTACTCACTCCAAACTGATTCCCGACTGGTCTGTCAGCGGTCTGGCATTGCAAGTTTCCATAGGGCTATCGCCACTCGCTTCTCAACTGTCAGAGCAGATCTCATTTTAGTATTGCTGTGCTTCAGGGCTGGGGAAAGCAATTGGCAAAGTTCCATGAAAGTGGCCTTACACATTTGAAAGTTATGTAGCCACTGCTCATCATCCCATAGCTGCATAACGATGCGGTCTCACCAGTCTGTGCTTGTTTCCCCGACCCAGTAGCAGTGTTCCACTGTGTCAACAAGCTCGGCTGCCAACAAGCTCGGCTCCCTAACATCAATAATAATTGTACCAAAACTGCTTGTACACAGTTGAAGAACTGAAGGGCATCTACAAATGGTTTTGATATTTGTTGTTTAGTTCAGTGATTCATGTACAGACAGTAACACTTATACCTGAGGATGCTGTGTACTGAAGGTGGCAACCCATTCCAGCATATTTTTTCAATCCAGAATTCACATTGCCAATAAAGTATAATGTGGCTGAAGCCTCTGAGTTTATTATTGCATGGGGGGAAAGAAGAGGAAGACACACTGCTACACTGATCCATCCTCCTCCCCTCTTCCTCTGTGGTGCTAAGGAGCTCATCTTATTCCTCCCACAGATTTGAGCTGAGTCCTGAAGCGTCTCAAATGATATCCTTTACTCTTTACTCTGCATAGTGGTGTCAATCTGCTGCAGAGCAGAACTGGGTCTATTTTCTCCTCTTAGTCAGCATTGAGAAATGACTCCTATATGCCTGGTGTCACCTCAGACAAAACAGCAAACATTCCCTTCCCCTGCAGTGCACCGGAGGATTAAAAGCTAAATCCAAAAGAAAATATCCATTTTTAATAATATCACTCCTAAAGACTTAACAGTACTTCCCTCCTGGCCAGTGGAACAAACAAACTAATATGCCCCATACTGAATATTGATCAAGTCACTAGCACCTAAATCACCCGATCACTAGGACAAGCAAAACAAACAAGCTACTGCTACAGAACCCTGCACAGAAGCGTCACACTAGCAGACTACCTGTACCACAGTGAAATGTATTCTTACCAAGCACAGAATCAGTAACCAAAAACTAGCAGCGGAAGCTGGGAGATGCAGAGTACAGAGCAAACTCAGGCCCTGATCCAGCAAAGCACTTGATCACAAAAGAAATTGGGCTCCATAAAGAAACTTTGCAACCCTGGGGCAGCTCTAATGTGGTGAAAGGGTCCAATTGTGTATGCAGCAGCTCCAGGATTTGGAGAGCACAAAAGCAAGTTTTGCAGCACCTTTGCAGTCCCCTTGCGCTGACTTGTATTGTGTGCTCCTCAGATGTGGTGAAGGATCTGGCCCATGGCATACACACTCGGAAACCTGAGATGAGCCACAACCAAACCCTAGTTCTCAACAAACATTGGCACGATTCAGATCCAAACTTTCAGGTTGGCCTGATTCTTGGGGTGAACCAAAACTGTCGATCCAAACACCCATGCCTAATACAAATACAACCACACCTATTATGACTTCTTACCCACCTACCTCCCCACCCCACCCTTGCTTTCTTTGGTTTCTTAGTAGTGTCCAACTGCCTCTCTGAGTGTAGGAGGAGCCAAATGACTTAAGAGAAAAAAAGGAGTTCCTATCTCATACTGCTGTTTGGGCTAAAAATCCTGTACAATGCACATATCCCAGAGATTGGTTTGTCTGACTAGACTGAACGTGGAGAAGAATGAATAACAGGAACTGGTGGTTTGCAATACAAATCAAGAGCTTATGTGACATTGGAAGGTAGAGGAAGAGCTGCATATCCAGCTCAGACCTGGGCTGCTGTTATCTGAAGAAGGTAAAATAATCCATAACATTGTGTTATACTTTAATTATTTTAGACAAGCTTCTGGACAGCATTCTGCTATTCTCAGTCTTCTTGTTAAGACATGTATGTGAGCTGCCTTATTGCCTATATTAGTTTAGACTGTCCCTCACTTAAATGACATTAACGAAGTAGGAAAGGAAGATTTTATTAAATAAGATGGCTTCTTACCTCTATGCTCCAGGAACAATCATTAGCAGCAGCTATGTAACACCTGAAAGTTGTGGGGGCAAAACTGATTTGTAAGGGTGTAGTCAGGGCCAATTTATAACCTCAGATAAAGATCAGAAAGTATCTTACTGAACAGTGATTACAGGGCACAGACATTATGTGGATTTCAGCATGCATTGCTATTTGTGTTCCTCCCCCCCACCCCCAGACTTTTAATCTGATGACAATTAACAAAGGTTTGTTCTGATGTGTTTGTCACTCACTTATTAAAAAGACACTCAGCAGTTGGCTTTCAGTATGAAAATACCTGCAAGTCCAATAATCCCTTTTGTAACTGGTTACATAATTCTGCTGTAAAGCAGCTTTTATAATGATTGTGTCACAGTCCCAGCCTTTTACATGAAGAGATTTGTTCTCCCCCACCCCTTTTTTTTTGATACCTCACTCACCTCAGTGGTGTTTCCTTTCCCTTAAGACCAAGGGACAAGGCAAGGTGCCATTGTCAGTGCTTAAATAAAAAGAAAGGAAAAACTGATTATTATTATTAATAATAATAATTAATAATAATAAAATGATATCGCTTTGCTCTTACCTAGTGCCTTTCGTTTAAGCATCAGAAAGCTCAGTACTTGAATTTTTCTCCTCTTTGTGCGCCTGATCCTGCTAGGTGCTAAGCATCTCCAACTTCCACTGAATTCACAGGATTAGACTTTGACTGAGAGTGAATTAAATAATTCTGGGGCATTTGTTTATATTGGTTGTATTCAAACAGGAGAGCGGGATTCAGGATTTCTGGATTCTATTCCTGGCTCGTCCACTGACTTGTTACATGACCTGGGGAGAGTCATTTAAACTTGCCGTACCTCAGTTTCTCCATCTGCAGAATGGAGATACTACTATTTGTCTAACACACAACCGAAATGTGTGACTTAATGAATCTTTGAAGGTTATTTAGAGTCCTCAACTGTAGATTGACAAAAGAGTACACATTATTATCTATTATTAGTGCCTGACAAACTTACTGCACATGTCTGACGTGTCCTAAAACTGGTAACAATATTAGACCTACATTCTGGTTCTGAGAGCCAGGGGAGCACCTTCAGTGCCCGAGCAAGTGATGTGTGAGAGGAACAATGTGCCTTAGTAGCTGGTGAGTTGCGGAGATGTAGCACTGCTCCCAGCACCGCCCTGCTGGTGTGCAGAGGTAGATGGGATCATGGTCATCTGCTCTCTAAGTTGAACAGCACTGGTTGCTTCCCCGACCCACACACAGGGCATGGCTACACTTAGAAGTTAGAGTGCATTAAAGCAGCGCCAGGCGTCTGGAAAGGCATGTAGAGCGCCTGGACTCCACGGCTGCAGCACTCCCGGTAATCCACCTCCAGGAGAAGCATAATGCTTGCTGCGCCCCGGCTGGAGTGCCGTGGTGCCAGTGTGGATGCCCTGGTCTATTAATGCGCTCTGATCAGCCTCCAGATGTGTCCCACAATGCCTGTTCTAGCCACTCTGGTCATCACTTTGAACTCTACTGCCCTGCCCTCAAGCGAACAACTGTCAGACCCACCCTTTAAATTCTCTGGGAATTTTGAAAATCCCCTTCCTGTTTGCTCAGCCAGGCATGGAGTGCTCTCAGCGAATCTTTCAAAGTGACCATGCCTCCACGCAGCAGGTGATCCGCAGTATTACATACATGTTTGTATGTAAACAAACATGTGGCTGCCTTTTGTGCAGGGGCTCCCTGTGTCCTCTCTTCCTGTGCACCCATGCTGGCAGCCATGAGAGCGCTCTGAACTAGGAAGCAGTCTGATACTAGAAAGGCTGCTTGTACTTGGAACCCAGTTTTTACATTTTAATCAAAAGATCCTTTTGGAAGCCAGCTGCTGGAGAAGGGGAAGTTTCCCTACACATAAAGCATCCCTTTCTTCCTCTCCTTCCATAGGGAAGTCACAGTGACAAGATGAGAACGTGGGGACTTTTGAAATATTCTGCACTTACCACATTTTAGTAGTTAGAGCACACGAGTGAGGTGACAGGGGATCTTGGGTGCTACTTCCAGCTGAGTTACTGTCTCACTTGTGTGTCCTTGGATGGGTCAGTTGACTTCCTTGTACCTAAGCATGAAGGTGGGTAAAAGTAGAATCTTGCTGAAAATGTACTCTCAATAACAACAGATCATTCTAGTACCTGCAGCGCAGGGAAATTTCCCAGAAATCTGGCTACAGTAACATTATTAATTACTCTGATAACTGAGGGTATCTAGTCTAAGTCCATGATTACTAAAACTAACCAGAGCCTGTCAAGGTCCCATTTGCATCATTTGAATCCTACCCAGAGGTTTTCTGTGTGGAAGGACTACCTGAGGGGGTGCCATTCCGCCGACCATCTACTTTTGGCATTCCAAGATTGGAGAAGATCCTGCGAAACAAATCTAAGATAAAATTTATCATAAAATTTATCAGAGCAGTAACCTAAATTATGATATATTTGCACTCAGGAGGAGGAGAGAGTTAAGTTGCTGTGTATATTATGGGCTAAATCATGCCTCTTATGTGGCAGAGACAGGCTGGGAAGGTTGAGGAGTACAAGGTGATGTCAGGAGGCATTAGACCTTTGTAAGGCTTCATAATTATTTTGTACTGGGTGAAGCATGACAAACAGCAGAGCTTATTCTATCTGTACAAAGGGATAGCTTGCACACTCTTGTTCAGGCACAGGGATAACACCTCATCATGACCTTGCTCAGATACGTGCACATATTTGGTCATGACTGCTGCATCCCTAATTGTGCTCCCGAGTGCCTCAGACCAAATTTTGTGACTGCCTCCTTCCAGCACAGCAACCCAGGGCACAGCTGTAACTTTGCCCTAGTCTATATTTTTTACAATATCAGAGCACTTACATATATTTATGGATTTGGCACAAAACCTCAGGTAAGGTATGGGAGCAATAGCCCCTTTTGACAAGTGGGGAAACGCAGGCACACCAAGATTAAGTAACTCGCCCAAGGCCACACAGAAATTCAGTGACAGAACTGGAAACTGAACCCAATTTTCCTGATTCCCAGTGCAGTGCCTTAACCACAAGACATTCCTTCTTCCCTTGAGTATTTATTTTGTCTGGGAGATTTTTGGACATAGTTCAGTCCCCTTTGCAGCTGATTCACTTGTCTGTCTTTTGCAGCCAGCCCTGTTTCTGTTATGCAAATACATCCAGTTCTACATATCAGTCAGAAATAAGAGCCAGACATGTGGCAGAAAAGTTCCTTTGCTTCAGCCTCTTACAGGGGGGAGCCTCAAGCATTTTTTGCTCTGGCTCAGAAAGTTGCTCAGATGGTTCCTTTTTATTCTTAAGAGTGTTTGGTGCTCACAGAACAACATCATTTGTGCAAGGTTACCTTGGGGCTTACAGTGGGCACTTGGTGCCAGGTGGGTTCTGCAGGTCTGGACTCCACAATTGTCACACCTTTCAGCTGCACGCAGACAAGATAAATACAAGTAACGGGATCATTTTCAGCACACAGCACACATCCTCCTTCTGTGATCAAAACTGTCTTCCACACCATGCCTCTTTTAACCGATGGCATACATGCTTACAGCCAGACCTACAGAAAGTCCCCTCCAGTGCCCACATTGAAAATGGTGGGAGGTAAGAAGCATTTTTCTGTGTCTGATAGAGTTCACCCACTCCAGCCCACTTGTCAATCACTCCTGCAAGGCTGACGATCCCAAGTTCATCATAAGACTTCAGAGGAACAATTCTCTCTCTCAGGAATGTACCAAACGAGACACATCTATTAAAATATCTCCAAAAAGGATAACACCCCAAACCACCACTATTAGGCCTTTACCCACTGCCCCCGTGCAGGTGAAACACTGATTCCCTGATATGTTGTATGTGGACCTAGAATAACACACAGCTCCATGCTGAAAACCATTCTCAGACTTGCTCTCATGCAGGTAAGACTACTATTGTCTTCACCTGTTATAGGATCTTATGCAGAATTGTCTCCTATTATGTGGGCTCAGCCCTCCTGCTCATAGAATTTGATGTTATTCTGAAGTACTGAAAAGTTATTTCATTGTTCAGGCTGAGGCAGAATGTTCCTTTTCATTTTCCATATTCCCTCTGTGCATGTCACATTAATGCACAGGATAGTTAGGTTTATCAACAGTTGATGAATCTTACTCCGAACTGCCTCTTCACCGTTGTTCAGGATACAAGCAGGAACAAGAGAAGGCTTTGTCTGCAACGATCAAGGTATCTACACAGTGATTAAAAAGACAGTGTCAAGGTTCAGAGGTCCCAAACACAACTTCTCTTACTTGACTTTTTCTGTTTTAAAATGTCCCCCGGGCAATAAGGTAACTCATCATACTTGTTACTGGGGTCTGCAATTGGCTTATAAAGTCAGCTGCTAAACTGGGCGACCCAGCAATGAGAAATCCAACATGTTCAGGGGCTTTGCTATGCACATGAGGATGCATGAGCAGTGACCTGCTGCTCTCCCTCTTTGTCCCACTCTTGTAGGCTCACAGAAGATTGAAACGGACATCTTTCCTACCCTCTGGAGCTCAGAGACAGCAGGAATCGTCTCAGTTTACATCTCCTACTGAGTCACGCAAACAGCACCAGCCAGAGGAACAGCATGATGTGTATGCTCATGTCTTATGCACACATGACAACAGAGTGATTGTTTAGCTCAGCCCTGCAGCTGCAATTTACAGAGAGCTGTAATCCTGGTTTTAGAGAGCTGGTGGGGATGGGGAAGTTGCTGCCAAGGGATATTTTAAATTACATAATGTCAAGGCAGGAATCAAATTTTGGGCTTGGCAGCCTTAACAGCACGGCTTCAAAAACTGGGCAGGCTGGGGCTGTTGAAGGCTCAGTATGAGCTGGGCTCTCTGGTTCCATTCTTTAAGAATATGCCCATCTCTTCCTCTGTCTTTTTCTCTCTCTCTCTTTTCCATTTCCACTTTCTCATTTGTCTTCTCCTTCCTCATCCTTTTCTCCCTGTCCTCTTGCTCTTTTTATCCCTCTTCTGAGACTCCTGCTTCCCAGCTCAGGGACCCTTCAGTGAATGTTATAAACCAAATTACTGAAGTCCACATTATTCTTTACTTGATCGCTGTACCTATAGTTAATCACTAGTCATTCCCAGAGAAGTGGATGACATCTCTTTAATACTGGAACTTTTATTGTTTTGCAGAGCTACTAAAAAAAAATTCTCACACAAAAAAGATCTAAGAGAAGACTCAAGATACAGAAAAGATGCAGCACAGAGTAAACAGCCCACCAGATGGTGGCTACGGATGGGTGGTGGTGGTGTCAGCCTTCATAGTAATGGGCCTCACCACTGCTGTCCTAAAGACCTTTGGTTTGTTCTTTGTTGAAATTCAAAAGCACTTTGATGAACTCGCAAGCACCACTTCCTGGATTACATCGGTAACTATTGCCATGTTTCACTTAGGAGGTGAGTATAAGTGTCCCCTCCTGCCCCCAATGGTCTCTGTGTTTACTGTGTGATTCATATTTCATTAGGTATTTTCACAAACCTGTCAGATACACAAAGGAAATCATGTCTATCTAACTATATACAGAAACACATCCCTCCAAGGTACACATGGGTACATAAAGCAACAGAGTAGGTAAATACGGGGCATGTTTACACTAACATTAAACCCACCTGATCCAGTTCCAGAACTACATCCACATATCTACTATCTGCCAAAAATTAAAAGATGAAGGGAAAGGCAGAATGTTCAGTAATAACAAATAGTGGCACTTTGGAAATTAAGAGACCAGGGTTCTCTCCTCGTGATATGGGGCAAGCTGCAAAAACCTCTGTGTGTCAGTTTTCCCATCTGTAAAATGGGGATGATAATAATTATAATACTGACCCACCTTTGAAGGCATTTTGAGATCTCTGATTGAAATTAAAATCAGGCCTAGATCTCAAGTGTGCAGCATAGCTCTGTGCAAGTGTGACCTTTCCACTCCCTCAGTCTTGAGCTGGCTGCATGCCAAGTCAGTCTCCCAGCATAATTCAATTTAAAGCAGCCTTCTAGTTTATTGAGATTGACAGTAGCAATCAAGGGGCTATTGTAGTAGTTGGGAATTGCCAGTGACTAAGGAAGGCCTAGACGTACCCCATTCCCGCATTCATGTCTATGACAGTGCTACCATGTAATATGTTAGAGAAGCCTGTACTAAATTACACTTTTTCCATGTCTCTGGCTGCAAACCCTGCCCACTAGTCCATATCCCTAATACTTATCCCAAGATCTCAAACCCCCAAACAATTTCATATAGCCGCCATTAAAAAAAACAAACAAACAAAAACAAAACAAAAAAACTGCCAGAGAAATCGTTGTTCCTTCTCAGAAACAAATTCACTTCCCTCCACCAAAAAAATGATTGATGGTTCAGTGACAGCTTTTCATTATATACTGTGACAGGGTCAACCCAAATGGCTACAGAAGAGTGATCCTATTGAGATCCAGGAAATGGGTGGGCGGAAGCCCGCCCACTGCTAAAGGACCCACCCGCAGCCTAAGGGGAGGATCCAAAGGACCTGGAAGCCAAGTGATTTCGGGCAACTAATAAAATAACAGAGACAGGAGTGCAGTCAAAGGGTCAGACAAAGGGAACCAGACAGAAACACTGGGCAAAGAACCCCGGACAGCGCCCACTGCTCCTCGAAGGCGTCAAGGGAGTCAGTGGACGCCGCCCAGAGGAACTGTGCCTGGATACATGAAAGGACGGAGGATTGGATATAGGCCCCACAGTCACAGAGAGTGATAGAAGGCAGATATATTAGTCCCAGATTAACTAGATCCCTTTTCCCTGGTAAGGTAACGGGCAGTTCCAAAACAAGCGGGAACTTGATGGAACCAGTTAAGGCAGGCAGGCTAATTAGGACACCTGGAGCCAATTAAGAAGAAGCTGCTAGAATCAATTAGGACAGGCTGGCTAATCAGGGCACCTGGGTTTAAGAAGGACCTCACTTCAGTTAGGGAGAGGCATGTAAGGAGCTGGGAGTGAGAGGATGAGCTGCTGGAGGACTGAAGAGTACGAGTGTTATCAGACACCAGGAGGAAGGACTGCTGGGGGTTGTTCTTTTTCCCCATGCTGGCCAGTAATGAGGTTGTCAAGGTTCCTTCCCCACTCTGAACGCTAGGGTACAGATGTGGGGACCTGCATGAAAACCTCCTAAGCTTACTTTTACCAGCTTAGGTTAAAACTTCCCCAAGGTACAAACTATTTTACCCTACTTCCTTTGGACTTCCACTGCCACCACCAAACGTCTGACCAGGTTACCTAGGAAAGCGTTGTTTGGAGATGTCTTTCCCCCCAAAATCCTCCCAACCCTTGCACCCCACTTCCTGGGGAAGGTTTGGTAAAAAGCCTCACCAATTTGCATAGGTGACCACAGACCCAAAACCCTTGGATCCTAAGAACACTAAAAAAAAAAAAAAAAATTCAGTTCTTAGAAAAGAAGAATTTTAATAGAAGAAATAGTAAAAGAAAAAAAAAACCTGTAAAATCAGGATGGTAAATACCTTACAGGGTAATTAGATTCAAAACATAGAGAATCCCTCTAGGCAAAACCTTAAGTTATAAAAAGACACACAGACAGGAATATCCATTCTATTCAGCACAGCTTAATTTCTCAGCCATTTAAAGAAATCATAATCTAACGCATATCTAGCTAGATTACTTACTAAATTCTAAGACTCCATTCCTGTTCTGTCCCCGGCAAAAGCATCACACAGACAGACTCTTTGTTTTTCCCTCCCTCCCAGCTTTTGAAATTATCTTGTCTCCTCATTGGTCATTTTGGTCAGGTGCCAGCGAGGTTATCCTAGCTTCTTAACCCTTCACAGGTTAGAGCACACCCATCCTACCCCATTGTAAAACTATAATAAGTAATCATAATGGAAATTGTTTAGTCCATGAGGTCAGCATATCAGTGACCAATTGTGATACTGTTTGTGTGACTTGCACACAATCTTGGTCTGAAAAAAAAGTCTATTTGGGAAAACTGTTTTCATAGGAATTTTCAAATCATGACATAACATGGGGCGATGGTAAAGGGACGGATCAGAAAATGTACCAAATACCAAACATACATCTGCTCAGCAGGCTCTGAGGCTAGTCAGATTACATGAGTACAAGTCAGTTTTCTTCCCAGTACCAGAGTATAGGGATAAGGAAATGAATGTTGTGATTTAATAGTTGGGTAGAAAGTTTCCATTCAGAAACTTGTCAGAATTTATCAGAATCTTTCCAGTGGTTGGGGAATTTCAGCTAGGGGTACATAAACACACATATATTAAATATTACCTCAAAAAAAGGTGTAGGGTTAGTTTCAGTTGTGGGGAAAGTTTCAGGTCAGTTCTTCTTTTATCCCAAACTGTTTTTAACCCAAACTATCCTCAACTGTGAAATCCATATTTAGAGAGTTTTATATGGAGGTGTTTGAGGAGTGGGGGGACAAATGAAATTGTGACAAATGTTTTCCACAATCTGACCCTTTGAGGCAACTTTTCCCCCCAAAACCATCCAACTTTGAAAACGGGCAGTCTTACATAGCCTGGAAAGTATGATGCCCTCTCAAGCTGGTATCAACAGTGCAATAACAGCAATAAACTACACCATCCTAAGGGCTAGCATTGTCTTCTGTCTACAGATGGGCCAGACTCACTGTGTGACCTGAGGCAAATTATATAAATGGTCTCTCTTCTCAGTTTCCTATCCAAATAGTAGGGGTCACATATTGCCACAGGAGTGTTTTGAGGCTTAATTCATTAATATCTGTTACACACTGTGAGATCTTTGGATGGAACGGACTATAAAAAGGCAAAGTATCTGTAAATATTATACAGTCATCATCCCCCTAGACCAAGTTCACTGCCTCTCATAATTGGTATGGATGATAACTGTTCCATCTAAATGTTACCTTTAACCACAGTGAATCAAAGATTCATGAAACGCTGCTAAGTATTTTAGTTAGTGGGTAGAGTACTCAGCCTTTGGTGGAGTAAATGGAAGCTCCCAACTTTCTTGATCAGTTTGTAGCAGGAGGCCTCATCTGTACCAGCCATCTCAGCATCTATTATTCATGTGTAAGTGTTCTAACTTGCAAAGAAACTTGGGCTGTTCCATACTCTACACCAGGATTTGCATGTTAGACATGTGCATGAATGAATGGGCAGAGGCCATTAACAATGGCACTCAGGCAAACAGCACAGAACATATCAGTGGTTCCGAACTCTTTTGCCCATTGAAGCTATTGAGGTCAAATACTTTATTCCCCCCGCACTCTTCCTCTTTCAGCTCCTGTGCTGCCACTATAAACTGATGTTCCCAGTATAGTGGGCAGCACAGGATGTACCCATCACATGCTGTTCATTTCCAGCATGTTTAGTATCGGTCAGCAGGTTGAGACTCCAGTGTAAGAAGCCAGCTGGTCTGTTCAGAACTCATCCTGTTAGCCATGAATTTCTTTGCTTCAGACTGTACCTTTACTATTACTCTTAGCACAGTTATGGCTTCATTTTTCCCCCACTCTTTCCCTTTGTTATTCCCCACCCAAGGGTAGAGATTTCCTACTGTAATATGTAAAACAAGATACAGGATAAACAATCTTATTGAAATGTCTGAATGTTAACAACAGAGACCATTTGCAGTTGCTGGGGTTTCAGATAAATAGGTATTTAAACAAGTGGAAAACAATTTGCTCCCAGTCTAACTTTGACCCAGTGAGCTAAATGTCATTCCCTCCTCAGACTCTAATTTCTATGATCTTAGGAACTTCATTTGTATGAAATCTGCTTACTTCTTAAAGTAAAATCAAACCTCGGCTCCCTCTAGTGGCCATAGAAATGTCATACAATTTCACACAGCTTCTAGCCATTTCAGTAACTACTGTACACAGAAGATAAAACAGTCCGTTAAATGGTAGGCAGTAATCATCTGATCCAATGCCCACTGACATCAATGAACAGATAGTCACTGAGTTCAAAAAGCACTGGATTATACTCCAAGAGGAGTACCTAAACATTACTGATGCTTCTGAAATGTGATTGGATCACAGGGTCTAAGATTCTGGAATTTTTGCAGCAAGTTGTGAACGACAAGTGAAAGAACCAGCCCTCCCGAAGAACTGCTCAGTACCCAGGGAAACTATATAAGCTGTGCTGTTTATTGTGTGTTGTACAGTTCCCATAGCTCACCAAGAGATGCAGAAGCCCCTAATGTCCAACAAGTTTAGGGACTGAATCTGAGAACACATAGGAAAAATACTTCAAATCAAATATGGATCTCCTGCATCTCCTCAGCACATTACAGAAGATTTGCAACGTCAAGAAGGAGTCAGCTTTATCAACTCTCTGCCTGTGGAATTACTGTTTTTTACAGCCCCTTTTGGGTAAGCACTAGAGAGCGTAACAGATAATTGATCACTTTTCTATAGAAGCTTTAAGCCAAACTTTAGCAGATATATAATACTCTAGTATTAAAATCTAATAAATTGACCAAAATATCGTATAGCTGGAATCTCATTCTCTATTAAAAGCTTAGGATTATTTATACAGAACATTATTAGTTTCATTAAATTCAGTAGGACTCTTGCACAAAAGAAATGTTGAAAATCTTTTTTTTTTTTTCAGAAAGTCTGCTCTCTACCCCAGAATACCCCTCCCTAAACACATGCTGATTATGCTGCTAGAGCTGCCCTTCCTCAGTAGGGAGTCTTACATTTGCGGGGCAAAATCCTCCTTTCAGATAAGCACAATAGAATTCAGCTCTAATTTTCTCATATACATAGAGACAACAGAATACTGGATCAGACAGATGCCGGGTACAGAAGAGAGGGAAACTTTTCCTTAAATGTTTTCCTTTCTTGTGTAATTGGTTTAGTGAGCTTCATGTCCTAATGTTGCGTTATCCTTATTTTGCTGTTGTTTTAGCACCAGTAGCTAGCAGCCTGTGTGCAAGATACACCCATCGAGCAGTTGTGATAATTGGAGGACTCCTGGCTTTCTCAGGGATGACACTGGGGTCTTTTGGTTTCAACACTATCTGGATGTATACAACTACTGGCTTCCTACAAGGTACAATCAAAATGATGTCTCACACCTGCACTTCTGACCCCTCATTTAGGGTGATTTTTTTCAGTGTTTTTTTTCTTTTAATATATCGAATTTCTGCTGTAATGTTACTGGTTTTATTTATTTTCATTTTAAAGCTTTAATGCACACTCCCCCCTCCCCCCATTTAGGTGGGTAAGACTCTGCATCAGAAAATTGCAATGGCAAATAATCATAACAGATAGATAAGCTTCATTTTCACTTGCAACTAACTGCAACCAGAAAATCAGCAGCTTTTCATTTTTAAACTAATGAGGCATTAAGGATTTTGCAGTGCATCTGAGGAGCCTCAAAGTAGCAGAAGTGCAAGAAAAATGTGTCCCTAATGCCGCACTTTGTGTGGAATAAGTTAAATCACAGGGCCATTACCCTGAGTCACAAGGCCAGATCCTCAGCCTGCTCCAACCCACTGCATTGTTCCAATGATGCAAGTAGGCTGGAAAGCTGGTTTAATCAGTCAGCTGGGGATTCCCCTTGATCAGGGAATAAAGCTGACATAATAACCCATTTCTGGTTCCATCCTGGTTGTGTGAGAGGACATGGCTGAAGCCAGAGCTTCTTGAAATCTGCCAATCCTGGGCCAGCAGAATTGACTCTTGGGAGCTGTTATGGGTGCTCCAGCTTACACCAACTGTAAGGCCAAATCCTTCCAGCCTGTCCTAAGAATGAGGACCACATAAAGATGGCATAATGCCATCTTTGCTCCCTTCCTCAGATCGTGCACTTGAATGCACATCAGCCTAATGCCTGGATATGGCTCAGGACATTTTCACTCTGTGTGTGCTGCCGCAGCAGCATCGCAAATTGTATCCAGTTTAAGCTGCATGACTTGTTTCAGTCAGTAGCAAATTGGTCAATAGTCTTTGGAAAAACAAAAGTTGTGCAGTGAGGAGGACAGTAATGCAAAGTTATCTATATGCACTACTTTGTATTTCTGTTTTTCTGGTTAAATGTGTACCTAAATGTCATAAAACACCTGACACAAACATACAGAATGTGTAACACAGCTGAGCTAATGCTGCTGATGGAAGCATAACTTTTTACAATTCCTGATTTTAACTATGCAAATTTAACACAGAAGTAATAGTGTGAAAGCATTTTCTGCTGTAACGGTGTGCTCCTGCCTGGACACAATAGCATGGTCAAGTCTAACTTTTCTTCTCTTCCCATGCAGGTCTTGGGATTTCCTTTTCATGGACACCAGCCATTAGCATTGTCAGCCATTATTTCTCTAACAGAAGGGCTTTGGCCAATGCTGTTGCCAGTGCTGGGGAATGTGCCTTTGCATTCACCTTTGGCCCTTTTTTCAGTGGTTAATTGGTCTATATGGGTGGAAAAGTGCTCTGTTGATCATCGGTGGCATTCAACTCAATATATGTGTCTGTGGAGCACTGATGCGACCCCTGAAGAACCGTTGCATTCTTGAAGCTAGGAGTTCTGAAGCTCAGAGACCATCCGGCAAGGATGTGCCTAAGGCTGGCAAGGAACATGCATCTCCCAACACACAAAAAACATTCAACTGGATGCTTGTGAAGAGATTGGAGTTTATGCTTTATGCCATTTTTGGTATTTTAGCTGCTATGAGTTTTTTCGTTCCCCCATTATTTTTGGTTCCACTTAGCTACAGTCTAAGGATAGATGAGTCTTGGACTGCAACTCTCCTGTCCATTTTGGCTATAGCGGACTTCATGGGCAGGCTGTTGTGTGGCTGGTATGCTAACCTCCACCTTACTAGGACTATACACTTGCTGACAATGACAGTTGTTCTGATCAGCACGTCTTTGATGTTATTGCCACTGGCTAATAATTACCTGTCTCTGGCAATATTCACTGGCTTCTATGGCTTTTTCTTTGGTGCGACAGTGTCCATCCACATCACAGTGCTGGCAGAAGTTGTGGGTATGTCAGATTTTGACAGTGCCTTGGGGCTCTTTATGCTCATTCGAAGCACTGGAGGTTTTCTGGGGCCTCCTCTTGCTGGTAAGTTGAGATAGCACTTTCATAAACACAGCTTATTAGTGAACTGCTTGTTGTTTTGTAGCGATAGGCTCAAACTGAGAAGTTTAGATCTGGTCCAAATTTCCTCCAGTATGGATTTTAGCCATGTTTCAAGCCCATCTCTAGTTATCTGAGCTACAAAATTGATAATACAAAGAGCCAGACTAAATCTTATGGAGAAAATTTTGCCCCTTCTCCTCCCTCTGTGTAGAGCCTTCCCAGCAGTGAAACTGGTGGGAGAGTGGCAGGATTCCTGCCGGCATTCATGCCCTCATACAAACCTGCTCCATGGTGTGCAAATTTTTGGTGGTGCCAAGAATGGGTCCAAGTCTCGCCCTGCCCCCCCCGCCTCACCTGCCTAAGGCTCTGGGAGGGAGTTTGGATGCAGGAGGGGTGCAGGCTCTGTGAGGGGGTTTGGGGTGCGGGCTCTGGGCTGGGGCAGGGGGTTGGGGTGTGGTAGGGGTGAGTTTGGGTACAGGAGGGGATTCAGGCTCTGGGAGAGAGTTTGAGTGCGGGAGGGGTGAGGGGTCGGGGTCTGAGAGGGAGTTTTGATGCAGGCTCTGGGCTGGGGCAGGGGTGCAGGAGGGGGTGTGGAGGTCAGGCTCTGGGAGGGAGTTACTTACAGTGGGGGGGCGGGCTCTGGGATGAGGCAGGGGGTTGGGTGCGGGTGAGGCGCTTACCTCAGGTGGCTCCCGAAAGCGACTGGCACACCCCTCTAGCAGAGGCTCCTAGGTGGGGGGCACCCCTCAAGCACCGCCCTCGCAGCTCCCATTGGCCGCAGTTCCTGGCCAATGGGAGCTGCAGAGTCGGCACTTGGGGGGGGCAGTGCGTACAGATCCCCCCACCCCCAGGGCTGTTCCAGCTGCTTCCAGGAGTGGTGCGGCGCGAGGCCGGGCAGGAAGCCGCCTTAGCTCCGACTGCTCTGCCAGTGGTGGCAGCGGTGGCTGGGGGCCCCCCGAGCCCTTTTAAATCACCCAGGGATGGCAGGTGGGGCTGGGAGATGCTTCGGGGGAGGCACGCAGGGCCAGGAGAGAGATCCAGCCCCCAACATTGGTGGAGCCGGGCCCCTGGGCCCTGAATATTCCTGGAGCACGGGCACCACAGCCCCATATAACTCGCCCCCCCGCCATGGAGTACAATGCTGTAGGACTCCCAGTGTCCCAGCACAGAGACCATGTTTGTGGGAGAAGCAGAGGAGGGGGATATAGCCATGATGACATGGTATGAACTGTGGGGGCTACCGCATCCCTGAGGCTGTAGTATTGGCCACAGAGTAGCAGTGATACTGCTCGGCGGTAATGGCTGTAGGAGGATTCCATCCCCTTCCGGCCTACTACAGAGAACCTCCGCTCAAAGCTTGGCCACTTAGGGTGTGCAACAAGTGCCTCCTCAACATACCAATATGTTTTCTGGCAGCATCTCAGCCTATCAATATATTAAATGGAGAGGTGGCACAAAAAACAGTGGGAAGAAATAGGCCACATAGAGAAACCTTGAGTGAGTAGAAATATAAGCTGGAAAAATTCAAGTGCAAAGACTGCAGAAAAATACAAAACACAGATATTCAAGCAGGATATTAAGCAGTAATGCTGACGGAGACTTTGGTGTTACAGCGGACAGCAAAGTAGATATAATTTTGCAATGTGATACGGCAGAGAAAAGGCCAATATGATTGTAAGCCAACGCATATGAGCCATTGAATTTAGTGGGAGTCTTTCGAATCAGTCCCATGTAACAGCATAATTTCAGAAAGTAAGAAATTTTTACAGCCCTTTTCCATATAGTTCTGGTCCGACTGCCTCCAGCATTCTAGGCACAATTAACTGCATCTGCAACTGCATTCATTGAGCAGTCTAAGCTACCTGACTGCATTAGCAAACCAGGAAGTTGTCTAGATGGATATGAGTGTGGATAAAATTAATTGTGCCTGCGTTTCACTGCCACAGCATGATTGTGCACCCACAATATCCTATCCATCCATTCACGTTCTTACACCATACCTGTCACTGTGGTATCTGCAGGCCATGTTGAAGCCCAGCTAGAAATAAGAGTTTCCTCTCTCTCTAACTTTTATGATTCTTTGAAAAATAACTGTCCCAAACAGCAGAGAAGCTAAGAATAGAATGGACCTGAAGACAGGACCAACTTCTTGCCCCAGCTCAGGGCTGAGGCTCACTAGCAGGGTGCCAGAAGGAAGCTCACACTACCCTTCTGAAAATTACTACAGTGCTACCCAGTGACTGTCCAAAATACAGCACCTAACAACAGCAACACTGCAGTGCACTGGGCAACTACAGCACAATACTGTAGGGTTTGTTTTTATGTATATAAATGTGCCACTATCTGTGCTGTCCTCCTGTTTTGTGGCTAAACAGAGAATTTAATTCTATAGAGCTGTCAGCCTGGTGGCATCTTTCACTAGCATTAAATTCCTGTACACAAAATAAGTGATAAGTACACTGTGCTCTGAACTGTTCCTGTTAAGAATACGCTGATAAGGGTGATCTAATAGTCTCTGCTGCTGTTTGCATGGAGAGTTGCAGCTATATAGTGGCTGATAATATAGCAGATACTTCAAATGAACTCCTCTTCCCAGGACACTCCAACAGAAGAGCTTCATGTTGCCCTAGGATGACTGCACCTGGCACATTGGCATGCTATATCATTGGCCACTATTCGAGACAGGGTATCAGGCTTGGTAGTCCACCAATAGAATCTGATATGGCAAAACGTATCCCTGCAGGTCCTTTTGGGTGTATAGGGCCTTTGAGACAAGAGTGGAAGAGAATACAGAGGGGCCTCCGCACTCCCTGAGGGGCTCAGAAAATACCATGCACTTAGTTTACAAACTGGTGTCACTGAGCCAACTTCAGCCCTGGCATGAGCAGATGCAAACTCCATTGACTTCAGGGGAATTGCACTTGCTTGCCCTTGGGTTGAGCTTGGCTCATCACGAATAAAGGGATTTAACAAGTGTTAATGTTTTTCCCATCCCCCGTATTAATCTGAGCTGGTATAGGTCAGGTATAACGCCAACATGTGTGTGAGGAGGAAATAGCATTTTCCAACACAATGAAGACCATGAGGCTCCTATCCACTGATCTGGTGGATTTTAGGGGATTTTCCTCTTAGGAGGGTCAGGAAAACACCACAGGATTCACCAGAGATAGCACAAACCCTCCAGTGGCCACTCAATTGTTTGAAAATTCATCCACAGTAAAATCTATCATTTCCCTGTTCCATCCCACAGTGGCCCCCCTTCTATTCTCTGATCACACCGATATAGCTCACCTCTGTCGCCCATGACTTGCCCTCCCTTCTATCCTCTATGATTCACCCTATGCTCTTCCTTTCTCTACATGGCTTCTTCACAATTTCTGTTCCCTCTACTCTCCCATAGATTGTTCCCTCCTCCCCCCACTCTTTGTTGCCTCCTGCCCTGTTTGTGGGCTCATTAGTACTCTGGACCCTCCCACTCTGCAGTAGTTGCTGCTGCTGAGGGAGAGACAACTTGCAAAAAGCACAGCAGGAGGCCATTACCTGCTGTACAGTTCTTGGAAATTGGGTGGGAAACCAGTTCACTAGGACAGATGCTCAAAACCTGCGATGGTGCTAGCCAAACTGGCACTACTGGCTTCTAAACAACAAGCAGTCAGATACCTCATAGTCCACGTGGCTAAATTTTGTGGCTGATGAAGTTGTACCCATGCATCTGTCCATTGCTCCCCAAATTTGCACCTGCAGAACTGGTGACTGCACCCACTAACAGATGCTTACACACACAATTACCGACTGAGCTTGAACAAGTGCACTTGCAAACAGAGCAATTTAGGCAACTAATTTTGTAAAGATGGGCCTAAACCTGTTCTACATTTGCTGTCATTACAAGTATCTTAAACTGGTGAATTAACCTTTACAAAGCCAGAAGATGAAACAAACTCACAAAGAAAAGGTGTTCCCCTTGTTAATAAGATATCTCAGCAATTTCCATTAATTTCTTCTTGACAAATCACACCACTATCATTTGCTTTTCCCACCAGGTCTGATTGTGGACATGGCAGAAAATTACAGCGCAGGGTTCTACATAGCAGGAGCCACTCTCATCATATCTATTGTATTTTTGGTCGTTATAGATCAACTCCAGCAGAAGAAAGAGCAAGAGAACAACACAGACACTAAACCAAAGAAGCAAATCCTGCTATTCCCTTCCCTTCATTTCCTGAAACTTAAGACTGGAAAGTGTCAAGAACAAGATATGGGGGTGTGACTATTGCTATTTATCTCTAAGAAAATTTGAGGGCTTATTTAAATGTTTTAGTTTAATACATTCCAAATCCCCCCCCCCCAAGGCTATCGAAGTGGTGTTTACAAATTTTTTGCTGATATTCTGTGTAGGGCTATGCGAAATTCAAAAAAAAAGTCACAACAATTTGCCTGCAAAAAAACCCACAAATTTTCACATATTTTAATGTGAAAGTTGCAGTTTCATCTGAACAAAAATTCAAATTTTGAAATGATAAAATGTATATTTTTTAACCCAAAAGATACAGTGTTTAGGTTGTTTTCTTTTTCTTTTTTGGGGGGAAGGGAGGAGGACAAATGTGTATCATACACACAAAATGGCAATAAAAATCTTAATACAATGCCCACTCCTTAAGTGCCTATTAAAGTCTGATGTTTTATTTATAATCTGGGTCATTTAAGTATTTCTGTCTGGTGATACTTATTGACAATATTTTGAGCACATGCAGCAGGCAGAAAAGAGCTGGAGAGCAGTTCTTAAACTTTTTCACAGTGTGGACTGTCCCTTGATAGTGAGATGTCTCTTGGACACCTCCCCTCACCCATTCATTATTGTGCAGACCAAGAATTTAATGTATTTTAACGTCTTTTAAAGACTGCTATTATTTAGTGCCCATGGGCCCCAGTCAGAGCTCAGCCCCCCACCAATGTCCCAGATGCAGTTAAGGTGGAGGAACCAGCATCATGCAACCAGACAGGTCTTCTGGGACCATTCCTTTGGGAAACGCCATGCTCAGATGCAACATAAAACACTTGTATGGGGAAGGAGAAAAGGAATTTAATCTCAAAGGGCTGGATCACTCCTACCATGGTAAAACCTGTGAGATGGAACTCAGGCAAATGAAACTTCTGTGAGGCTCACCTCACAGAAATTACCCCACCGTGTTATTTTGATGGTGGAGATGGGTTAGGTTTACCACAATGTTTGTAAATCAGGACACTGTAATTATGGTTCTCCCAACAGCCTTAATTCTGACCTTATATCAACACTTATGTCCTCCCTATCCAACAACAACCTCCTTACACCAAAACACAATACTTCACCCACATTCCCAACGCTCATCGTGTATGCTAAGCCAGCGTAGCCCAGAGTATGGGTATACCCCTGGGTGGTGAGCATGAACGACTAGTTGGAAGGGATGGAACAGATAGACCCTCTCAATTGTTTTCCAAAATCTCAGGTTCAATTTTTTTAAGTTAGTCTTTAGCTGCTAGGACAGTGAAGAGAATTTCCAAACATGAGCTGAGACACATCTGTCTGAATTTGCAGGATAGCCTGAAACTTTAGCTCTGAGGTGTGAGAAACCCCATTCATTCCAAAGGGTGCTGACTTAGGTGCCAGTGATGATACTTTAAATGTCAACAGTGTTAACCAGTTCACTGCTCATGAAAGCATGGAAGAAAGAAAAGAAAGAATCATATTATAGTTACAAAATAAAGGACACATTTTAAAAGACAATTTACTTTCATGCAATTAAAACTCTAACATACATATAAGCCTTTAACAATATTTTCCTGAAAGGAGAGCTCATCTTTCAAAAGTTGGAGAAATTTGGTCTAAATCACTGTACTATAAACATGTTAGAGATATAAAGAGCCGAGAACCGCCAGCTAAAAAGTCAACTTCTAAAGTCGATTTTCTAAAAAGAAATCAATGACTACCTCAGTTGCTTCATCCTAGCTGTCAACATCTTCAAAATGCCAGTTTTGATTAGCCAAGAGTCTAAACTACCCAATATTCAGGATATCTCAACTGCATTATACAATCCCTTTCCTTAATTTGAATACTGCCTCTCTTTATTCCAACAAGCAGGGAGGCGATAACATCAGACAAATGGGCATCGGAGGCCATTATATCAAATTATACTATCCAGTTTACCTCCATCTCTCCCTCCACCCCCTTTCCCAGACCCCTTTCACGATCAATTGCTTGCACAGGAGATCACATCACTCAAAAGTCTAGGGGCCATAGAACCATTCGACAGAGGAAAAGGGTTCTAATTCAAGACATTTTCTGATACTCAAGAAAAATGGGAATTGGAGGCCAATACTAGACCTCAGGCAATTGAATAAACATGTCATACATCTAAAATTCAGGATAGTGTCCCTAGCAGCTATAATTCCCTCCCTGGACTCTGCGGACTGGTTTGTAACTCTCAACCTAAAAGATGACTACTTCCACATAGCAATTCATCCCTCTCTCATAAGATTTCTTTGTTTCACATTCAATCACAACCACAACCAGTACCAGGAATAGGTGCTAATTTTCTAATCTGCCCCAGGGGGTGCTCCCCCCATCCCCATATAACCCCTTCCCCAAGACCCCACCCCCGCCCTGTTTCTTCCCACCCCTGTTCTGCTCCCACCTCACCTCTTCCTGTCCCCACCCTGCCCTTTCCCCACCCAGTTCCACCCCCTCCCCCAAGCATGCTGTGTCCTCACTCCTCCCCCCCCCACGTCTCCTGAAACAACTAATCCACGGCAGGCGGTAGGCGCTGGGAGGGGGGGGAGGCGCTGATTTGCGGGGCCCACCAATGGGCAGGAGGCACTGGCGGGAGGGGGAGGTTCTGGTAGGGGGGCTGCCGGTGGGTGCTCAGCACCCACCATTTTTTTCCCCCGTGGGTGCTTGTGCTCCAGCCCCGGAGCACCCATGAAGTCAGCACCTATGGTACCTTTGGCCTTTCTTCTGCTCCAAGGGTTTTCTCAAAAATCATAGCAGCTGTAGCTTCCTACCGCTACTGTCTAGAAATAATAGAGTCTTTCTTTACCTCGATGACTGGCTCCTCAAAGGCCGGTCTTATCAGGAAGTACAATTGGCAGTTCAAACAAGAACTTTGCTTTCCTGCAGTCTAGAACTACAAATAAATCTCAATAAATTGACCTGTACTCTTACACAGCAAATACTTTTTATAGAAATGTTTCTGGATTCAATGATGGGCAGAGCTTATGTCCCTCCTAAAAGGTTCCTTGCTCTAAAGAACCTTATCCAAAGAATGCAGCTCTGTCCTTGAGTCCCAGCAAGTACATGTCTGCAGCTTCTGGGGGATAGGGCAGCTTGTGTTTTTATAACACAGAACAGCAATTTACATCTTCAGTGTTTCCAAGGGTGGCTCAGGACAGTTTATGTACACAAACAAACACAATCTGAACAAACTGGTGTCTATACCCATCCAGTTCTACAATCATTCACCTGGTAGAATGATCCTTTCAAGATTTGTGCAGGAATCCTGTTTATCCAGAATCTCCTTACAATCATGATAATATCGGTTGCATGTCTCCTTGGGTGAGGAGCAGGTTTGGGTCCTCACGCAGCCCAAGGCAAATGGTCACAACAAGAACAGTGCACTTGCACATCAATCTGCTAGAATTGAGGGCATTCAGAAATGTTTGCTTCCACTTTCTTCCCCTAATCAAAAGCAAGTCAATCAAGATCACGATAGACAACGTAGCTTGTATATATTACATCAATCATCACGGAGGAGCATGTTCCCCCTCACTCTACACAGAAGCAATAAAGTTTTGGAATTGGCACAGAGGCAACCTGAGAGTCATTTCGGTTTCTTACCTTCTGGGTATACAAAACAGCCTGGCAGATATCCTCAGCAGACCTTTTTTTCCCTAAATTATGAATGGAAGTTGGACTCGAGTCCTCAACAAAATATTCCTAGCTCGGGGGTTTCCTGAGGTCAACATTTTCACCACTGCAGCCAACATGAAATGCAGAAAATTCTGTTTCAGAGAAGGAACACAATCTCTAGGAGATGCCTCTCTCATTACATGGACAAAGTTTTTGGTCTTTTTTAATGCATATCCACCAACTCCATTTTTTTTAAAAGTTCTCAACAAGATCAAGTAGGACCAGACCAGGATCATTTTGGTTGCATCAACTTGGCCAACACAGGTTTGGTTTCCTTATCTCAGACTCACTCCTCACCCTCCATGGCAGTTCCCCAGAAATTCTTGACTACTATCTGAGAATGCTGGTGGAACACTTCATCACAATCTGAATGTTCTGAAACTTTAGCGTGGCTTCTCAATAGTTCTCGGGGCTACAGGCATCCTGTTTATCAGGAATACAATACGTCCTGTTAAATAGCAAGAAGGAATCAAGACGCTTACCTCCAGAAATGGAGAAGATATCATCTTTGGTGTAACTGTCATCATCCACCTGTCCAGATGTCTCTTTCCACAATCTTGGATTACCTGTTGGAACTGAAAACTTCAGGTCTCTCTCTGAATTCCATCAAGGTTCACTTAGCATCAATAACAGTGCACTCACCAGTAGATGGTTTCTCAATTTTTGCTCATCCCACCACACTGAGGTTCCTGAAAGATCTTATGAGCTTTTCCCCACAGATTAGGGATACTACTCTACTTTGGGATCTCAGCTTTGTTCTTAATGGTCTCATAAAACTGCCTTTTGAGTTGGACTAGCTGTGTGCTAGAGGCTAGAGGAACCAACAGATGCACTCTTAAGCCCCGCACAGAAGGTCGATGGCTGCTCAATGCTTATGCCCACAGCTGCAATTGCTCCTGTGCCTATCTTATTCCAAGCCTTGCTCCAGTCCACTCCAAATGTGCTCCCCTGCTCATTGCCTGACTCCTGGTTCATGACTCCGCCTATGCCCACTAGACCTTGTGGCCCACTGCTCCACCCACTAGGACCAGCTGCCCATACCTTGATTCATGACAACTACCAGTGTCATACATTTTGCAAATACCCATGGGGCTGAAGAGAGACCAAAGGACAGCTTTGTATATGGCTTGTTATACACTGTTAACTATGAACTGAAGAAACTTTTTATGGCCAGAATATATTGCCACATAAAAAGAGGCATCCTGTAGGTCAAGAGCAGCATACCAATTTCCAGGGAAGGGATAATAGAAGCAACGGTGATCATCATTAACTTGATTTTCTGAATAAATCTGTTAAGCATTCTGAAGTACAGAATGAGTCAAAGACCACCTCTCTTTTTTGGGAATCAAGAAATAGTGGGAATAGAAACCTTTCCCTCTGTGTTGATAAGGAACTTCTTCTATTGCTCCCAGTTTTAACAGAGAATGTACTTCTTAAAACAGTCTTGTGAGATGGGTCCCTGAAAAGGGACATGAGAATATGTTGGAGAAAGGGAGGGAGGTAAATTGGATAACATAGCCCTTCTTTACTGTGCTAAGTACCCAACTGTCCAATGTAATCTCTGTTGATGCACTGTAAAAGAGAGATAGGCACGTTCCAAATGAGGGAAGGGGTATCTGAATGCAAAAGATGAAACAGGGTGGGTATGTTGTCTTGACAGATATATTAAAACACCTGTT